ACGGGAAAATTGTTTATAGAATTAAATGGCTAAGATTTTATGGTTTAATGGTACCAAGATTGGATTTCCATGTGGAAGGTCGTGAGTTTGAGTCTTAGTGGAGGCGTTATCAACTATTTCAGAATTCATGCTTAAGTGCTCACTTTTAAACTTTCAGGAGATGTGGATGATTGACACTTGCCACTATCGTACACAATCTTCATTTTACTATTTTTGTTAGTTCCGTTATGGTAGTTAGCCTTTCCCTCCATCTTTTTTCTCCTTTGTATATAGACATTCTAGTTCACAGTTCATGGTTAATGAGAATGCAATTTTACTTCTTTAGATTAGTGCCTTCTTCCTTTGTTGAACTCCGCAACATGGTATCAGAGCCCTAAGAATAGGAGCATCTCAATTCGACTTCCATGGCTGCATAGCCTCCGATTGGGAATCGATCAATTCCGATTGATAATACAATAGGAAATCCGACCATAGGAAACACATCGCCTTCTTTTTCCACGCTTGGGACTGAATCAAACATGGCTGAGGTAACTTTTGATCCTCAAACTCAGTCATCAAATCCTTATTTTCTGCATGTCAATGAGAATCGGCCTTGGAACTTGTTTCCTCCTTGTTAGATGGCTCGAATTAACATTCTTGGGCCAGAGCCATATCAATGGCCTTGTCCTGCAAAAACAAGATAGCTTTCGTTAATGGCTCTACCACAAAACCCTCCAAAGAAATATTTTGTCTGGGAGCGGTGCAACCATATGGTCATGTCCTGGATAGTTCGTACCTTATCACCAACGATTGGGAGAAATGTCCTTTGGATAGACACTACATATGGAATATAGAATGATTTGAAGAGGAGATTCAGTCAGCAAGATCTCTTTCGGATTGCTGAGATCAATGCGAGATATATCAGACGAAGCAGGGAGATAACTCATTGAATGAGTACTTTACCAAGCAAAAATTGTTGTGGGATGAGCTCCTCATCCTTAGGCCTTCAATAATCTGTGTTTGCAGTTCAAAATGTGATCGAGTGTGGTAAGAAGATTGATGATATGAATGAATAAATAAAAGAAAGGATAAATTGTTTATAATTTTTATTGGGCTGCGTGAGAGGTATACTGGGGCTAGGAATCAGATTATGCTTATGAGACCTCTACCAAACATAAGTGATACCTATTCCAAGATAGCACAATAGGAGAAACAATTTCATATTGCAACTACTCGCTTTGGGAGTGAGTTGCATCAAGCTGGTGAAAATGGTGTTAGACGAAGTCTTTTCATGGCCAAAATAAATGGAGGATCTTAGCAAGGTTACAAGAAATTTCAGCAGGTAACAAGAAACCTTTGTGCACATATTGTGGTTACACAGGTCACACTCGAGACAAGTGCTATAAGAAGCATGGATACCCCCCTGGTTGGAAGCCAATATCAAGGAACTAAGGCTCAATAAACCAAACTCAAGGTCCATTGGCAACACAACAATCTAATACTAATGGAGACTTAACCTTTACTCAAGATGATTTCAAGAATTTCTTGGAATTCATGCAAGTGCAAATATCATCTAGTGAGAGCTTGAACACACCTCTTGATCAGCCATCACAAGGACAAACCAACATTGTATCTATTGATTTTTTTGACTAAAGGTATGATTCCTTCACTTAATTCCCAAGTCAACTACAACCCCCCTTCACCACCTAGAACCTCAAACAAGCCGCACAACATCCTTAAGGACTAGAATCTCAGAGATGAAAGCTAAGAAATGGAAGTTAGAATAAGAATTGGTGAATGGCTGAGATTTGGTTTAGAACTTACTGTGATTTTCTATGGTTTTCTTGCAGAGCTTCTTGGTAGGGAAGACAAGGATGGGAATCAAGAGGTAATGGCTAAAAATATTCATTTTATATGGCTCTAAACCCTAGGAGAATCAACAATGATTGGTGGAGGAAAAAATAGTGATTTGGCTTGGCTTCTAAAAATATCAGGCAAAAGAAGGGTGGAGTCTAGTGGTTCACCAAACTTCATGGACCAAGGTCTAAAATCATAGTTTAAATAGTTTTGAGGTCAAAATGCATTTTTCCAAAAATACTTTCTAGACAACCACTTAATTTAGGTTCCTCATATTTCTCCCGGTTTTTGTCAGATTCACTTTTGGATCAAAAACTTGGTACGTGATGTACCCGAAAATTTTGGATTTTAGAATTAAAATAAGTCCTGGTGTTGAATTCATTTAATAATTTATTCAAACACCATTTTTATCGCAAAAATTTTTATACAGTGAAAATTGGCTATTTTGGAATTTCTTAAAACCGAATTTATAAAATTAAATTTTGGGTTGTCACATTCTACCATCCTTAAAAGATGTTTCGTCCTCGAAACTTAGAATGAACGAACGGTTTACTTAGAATGAAAACTTTCGGAAATAAGATAAGAGTTTCAAGATTTGGCTTAAGAATTTCTCTTGGAATAGTTGGAAATTTAGGAATTCTCTGAATTCACACTAACATTTCACAACTTAAAGGATTTACTCAAAACTACCAACTTCAATAACTACTATCAACTGAACTTAAAAGCTTAACGGTTTACCTTGACCGAAGCCTCCTAAAGCACCAGCTGGTGGCATGTAGTTGGGATCCCATACATGAGGGGTCTATCTTTGAACATTCTCTATTCCCATTCTCTCTTCGAGGACTGCAGCACTTTGGTCGAAGTTGGCAAAACCGTAGTTCACTTGAGCACTTAAATTATCAAATCTTTGGTTGACAATTGCATAGAGCTCCTCCAACATAACCTTCTTGTGGCCTACTCTGAGGCGCTGTAACATTTGTCCCTTCGTTTCCTGTGCCCATATCTTGATCGGTTCCCATTGCATTCCTTTCAACACTTGCTTCGGCTATGCTTCCGGCCTCAATACTAACACTTTCTCACTTCTTTTGTGGTATATTCAAGATAACCACGAGTGCTATCTTCTCATCCATGGTCTTCTTAGCAATATCTGCCAAGGCCAGATACTTGTTATCTATGGTTTGGTACATATCATAGTATCTCATATTTGCTGTAGTAAGGGCCATCCTTGTAGTTCTCTGTATTCTTTCCCCTCTTTTAGGCAGATTCATCTTAATGAAGATCCAACTCAAAACCATACCATAAGGCAAATTCTTCATGTTCCTTGTCTTGAAGTAGGACATGTGTTTAACCATTAAAACTGGCAAATTTATATCAATCCCAAACCTGAGAAAGAAAGCTATGGTACAGGTCCAACTACCAATCTCATTAGAATTGTTTCTACACGGGATCAGACACTCTTCTATCAATAAAACCAACAACTTCTTCTCGCCATTCAAGGCGGATTTCTCAGGCCTATACTCTTTGGGATACGCCTCCCTACTTCCTGTCATGTACCTCAAGTATTCAAGATATGACACTATCTCATGGGAAATCCATTCATCCCTATCATACGTCACTACTGGAAATTATGAAATTTCCGACCACCTGAAAGTGATCTTAAATCAAGTCGAAAGCCTTGTTCCGACCACTTTTGGTATCCGGAAAAACCCTGGTTGCTATTTCCGACCACTTTTTGGACTTTTTGGTATCAACTTAATTTAAGATCATTTTCAGGTGGTCGGAAATTCCATAATTTCCAGTAGTGCGTGTTTACTCCCTTCAATGGTAAATCAAACCATTTGGACAATTTTTGTGGTGTCAACTCTACTTTAGTACCTCTCACAATAGAGGTAACCATAGTAATTCCCTTCTTGTGTTTGGTAGACAAATTTTCATAGAACTCAATAATCAAATCGGGATAAATTTCGTCTTGAATCCTTAAAAGTTTTCTTAGAAATCCTTGAGTTTCCAAAAAATGATTAGTTGCTTCAGAAAAATGTTCAGGGAAATAGGTTTTACCTCCAATAACTGAGTAGTTAGAACCCTCATGGCTAGTTTCCTCTACTTGTTGCTTTCCCTTTGTCATTTGCAACCCAAAGCTTCTTGACTTGAACTTGGTTGGATTGGAGTGGATGACCCAAGTAGTATTTTTTCTTGTGCTTGGAATAGATTGTATAATGCAACCTTGAATCTTCTAGGAGCAGAGATGGAGTTTTGAAGGAGTTGGGTTTTTGCTTGGGTTGAGGCAGTGTGCTATGCAGAAGAGAGAAAGAAGAAGAGGGTTTCTAAAATTTTGATTTAGGAAAGAGTTCTACAGAAAACCAAATGGCCTTGATGGGGCTTGGCAGCGGCTCCTCACGAGCTCCGTCCCTCTAGTCCATGTTAGGCCCTCTCTGGCACGACTTCATGTCACGGACCATTACGTGGTCCATGATCACGTTCCGTCACACGGAACGAAGTCCGTTCCGTTCTGTGGGCATGACCCGCCTCCGGGTAGGGTGTTCGGATCGGACCCAAACCGGCACCAATTGCTTTTAGTCCTCCGACTTTGTCCAATCCCCAATTCAGGTCAAAATCAATTGTGGTCCTTGACTTTGAAAAAACCAGATCTTAGTAAAACCCTTTAGTTTCTAATTTCTTTTCGGGATTGCTTGGTCCAACTTAAATTTTCAAATTAAATTCTTGTCTATTTCTTTGTTGTCATTTGTTACACTTTCTCGTTTTCACTTCAACTTTGGGAATTTACTCACTTCCCTCCATAACCAACTTTAATCGTTCTTTAACGATTTTACTCTTACTTGCATCTACTTTGTTCTTATGAGCTTTTACTTATTTGTTCTTGGCACTCTTTGCCAATACTTTCTCAAAAGTATTTCTAATTAACATCTTAATTCTCAAAATCTTAAAAAAATCACAACTTGCACCAAATTTTCTCAAGCACACACAATCCAACAAGTAACCATGCAAGAATCAATAACACTTATTCCAAGTTAGAGTGTTATCTTTCTCAAGGTTGCGCCCCTCAGCCTGAGTCTGTCCAATGACCATGATCCTCCTTGATCCGGCTCCTCCCGAACGTCCCTACTGAGATCCTCCGTGTCCTTGATTGCCACTCCTGTGCGGGCCTACACTTGACTGATTCCCACAACCCATTCCTCGGTTGGTGCCTGACTGGACTGGCCTCTAGACGGCTGACTCTGGGTCGCACCATGGGATTTCTCCATCTTTGGATGCCAACAAATGGCAGCTCTATGTCCTGGCTTCCCGCAATTGAGACATGCCACGGGTCCTCCTCCACAAGTAGTCCGAGGGGGATCCTTACCACACCTCGAGCAAACCATGCTCCTCACACTCGATAGTCCTCCGACTCCAGCTCCCTGTCCATTCATCGGATTCCTTCTTTCTCCACATTGGTTGTCCTTTCTTGCTACAGGATTGAATATATGTCTATTGCTTTCATGTGAGTCATTACCCTCGCTCTTCTTCTTCTGTCCATGCATGGCATCCCGATGTAGTCGCTGAATCCTGGAGTGACCGGCAGCTGCGTCATAAGCCTCGTTCAAAGTGGCAAACTTTTCCGCAGTAAACAACTTCTGTGCATCATAGTGCAATCCTCGGACAAACTTTCGGGCTTTGCTAGCCTCATCCAGTGCTATAGTAGGAGCAAAACGAGACAGCGCCACAAAGCCGGCGTGATACTCCTGAACTGACATACTACCTTGCTCTAGATGGAAGAACTCCACATACTTAGCAACCTTGACATGGTCGGGGTAAAATCTTTCTCTTAACACTCCCTTAAATATTTCCCAATCGAAGATTTCTTTTTCCTTAAGGGTCGGGCCTTCCATTACCCACCAATGATCAGCCTCTTCTTGAAGATAGTACACAAAGGTTTCCACTCGCTGGTCTACCGGACAGCAAACTACGTCGAACAGCTTGTCAATCATACAGATCCAACTCTCAAGGATCTCAGGGTCCTCCTGTGTAACACCCCGTGTTACGATCCCTAAAATCAATTAAATCATTTAATCAACTACCCAAAAGAAAGAATTAAATCACAATAATTAATTAGGAAAGGCCCACCATAGTCCACGGGCCCTTATTCCCAAACCCAATCCTTAGTCCCAAAAGGAATAGATTTAGCAAGCCTATAATATTAGTTCCTAACTAGGACTCCTAATTATATAAATAAGGGACTTAAGAGGCACCTAGAACCCCACCACAATAAACGTTCCACCACCCCAAAGAAAGAGGTAACCCATGTCTCAACAAAACCTATTTTCATAGCTATGATTCCCCTCTTAGGATTTCCCCATATTATTGTGTATTGATAATTGTGATATTACTATTGATGATTGGTGGGATGATTCCATGGGTGATCTTGATGATGAGAGGTTCTTGATAATTATGGTTTTCTTGATGATTGGTTGGTGTCGAAACCAACAAATAATAAATTACTTACTCTATGATTTGCAATAGTGATGAGTAAGGTCGTACCCACAGAGATTGGTCAGACTTATTTTTAATCAAAGATTTAATAAAGGAAGAGATGAGAATTGAAAATTAAATAGCATCCATAAAAAGGCAATCAATATGAAATATCAAATAATAATAATAATCAATAGCAACTAGTATCCAACTCAAGGAATAATATCAATTCAATTCTAACAAGATAGATCATTGATTTCCAAGAAATAATTACTTTACTCTTTACCAAATTGGTTATGGTTATTAACAAGCTCTAATAACCTATCTTTCCTTACTTTGTCGATAATCAAAACAAGTTCTTTGATTACTTCCCTAGCTAATAAACAACCCTAAACAAGCTCTTAGGATTTAATTTACTAACAGCATTAAAAGAATTAGAAAGACTACCAATTCTAACCAACAGACGCGCAAGCTCGGTCTATTTAAACTAGATTATACATCTCCATAACATAAGATTGAAAATCTATTTATAATCAACTATGTTATTTGCTACTAGCTTTAGAACACTTAAACAATTACGGATTCAAAGTTCTAAATAGCAATTTAATACCTTGACAATTGAACAAAGGGCCCTTTTGCAACAATTAATCAAGCAATAATTAAAACTCATATAACAGGAGATATATAAATAATAAAGAGTTCAGACAATAAAATTAAGCTAAATAAATCTCACTGGTCTTGTAGAATCAAACTTCAATAATCCTTGAATTGGAAAATTAAAACTCAGCAGTACATTGCAGAGAGTGTTTACAAAGTAAATAAAATAATTCTGAGAAAACTGACTTCCCTCTACTGAAAAATCCAGCCCTATTTATACTAGTTCAGGCTCCCTAATCAACTCAACATAACATTAACTTCTCTAACATCCACAAACTAAATCAATTTCTTGAACCACATAAAACCTAAAAAATAAATAAACTTTATTTTTCTAACCATAGAAAATTAGCAAGGTAGGTTATTCCTGCTCTGACCTCTAATTCAATTAACTGGTTCGTGGATGTAGCTCAATGAAGACGTCTGCAGCTGCCGCAAAAATTGATCAACCGTGGACTCCTTCAACGAATTAAATTGCGGATGAAATTAATTGCAGAGGTCGCGGACGGAGTCTTCTTCGCTTTCTGCGCGCTGCTCTGAACTCTACGTACACATTACGCATAGAGCTCTAATTCAATAGAAAAGGGAAATAAGTTAGATGCGCTATTAAAACAATTAAATTATTTTATTTGGGCTACTAGTTAAAACAATAAAAAGAAAATACTTACCCAAATCATTAACTAAGCCCAATTCTTATTAATATGAATATTAAGCCTAATTATTCAACTAATTACTATATTAGTTCAAATATATTATTAAATAAATAAAATTAAATTATTATAAAAACTAATCTAAATTAAACATATAAATTGTGCTTATCAATGATCATATGACATTCTTGATGATTATATGATGTTCTTGATGATTGTAGGATGTTCTTGATGTTTATGTGATATTCTTACCGAATCTTGATATTAGAAGATGAATTGTGTCCTTGTTGATTTAAAAATGATTAGAACCCTAGGTTGTATCGTATGGAATTATTCTTGGTATATTGGGTGGGAATTCGCATGATTGGGTGTTGATTATGTTTAGAAAAGCATGATAGGTTATGTGTCATACGTTTCTTGAATTCGATCCGTTAATTGTCTACGTGCGTTATCAATTGCGGTTGAAAGTGTCTAAGCATGGTTTTGGGTTCCATAAAGGTTCCCGGGGCGTTTTTGTGATGAAATAAATAAAATTAAATTATTATAAAAACTAATCTAAATTAAACATATAAATTGTGCTTATCAAAATTCCCCACACTAATCATGTGCTTGTCCTCAAGCAAAAACATTATTTAAGAAAACTTAAATATGAAAACTCATAATACTTCATGAACATTGGTCTCAAACACATTATAAACAACTAGCTAGCAATTTATTTGGAAATGGAGTGATTAAATAACCAAGTTCTCACGGAAATATCACTCATAACGCACAAGTGTTTGAAGGGTGTAAATAAATTTCACTCAAATCAATTCCTATAGAAATGCTCTACCATAGGCTTGCATATCTTCTCATTCTCCACTACAAGATAACATGCATGATCAAATCATAAGGACTTTTTCATGGTTGTAATGGGGCTAGGGTAAAGGGTAGGAAATATTTGGAAAAGTAGTTCAAGAAGCCTTCAAAATTAGAGGAGGAAAGATTGAATGAACATAACCAAAATAAAGGCCAAATAAACCAAATCTCTCTTGTTATTTTGATAGTTCAACACCAACCAAATAAACTATCACATCCCATAAGAAACAATTCATAGTTTAAGGAAAATAATAATAATAACAAAAAATAATAATAATAACTCTTTTTTTCTTTCTTCTGTTCTGTCTCGTTTTTTTTTTCCTTTTTTTTTTCTTTTTTTGTTGCTTTTCTTTTCGCAATTTCATCTTTTTTTCTTTTTTCTTTTCATTGTCTTTTGATTCTTTTATATATATTTTTTTTGAAGAATCACAATTTCCATCACACGTTTCACCATCTTTAGTTTATAAACAATCTCAAATTGAAACAACTACATCAACTCACTTATCTTTTGTTTTTTGAAATACCAAAAAAAATCTCATAGAAGTCCAATGACAAATTCATTATTCTCAATCATAGACACTTTGCCAACATTTTTCCACACACTCAATTCTTATGCATTTATCCAATCAAAACTCCCCTAATCTTTTAGGCAAGGTTAAGGAAATTAATTTCAGGTATGAGGCTTATAATGTGGTTCCATAACAACAAAAATACAGTTAAAAAGGCTCAAAGTGGCTAACAAAGGATAAATAAATCATGGTATGAATAGGCTATTTGGCTAGTGAGGCTCAAAATCAAAGACGGCCTTAATCATATTAAAAATCATGCATGCATCAAATTAGCTTTAAAGAGAATCAAGACAAGTTCTAGAGATACAAATCCATGGAAGATATCACACAAGAACAAAATAATTTGACTGAAGTGTCAGTCTAAGGCTCAAAATCTCACAGGTTCATGCTTGCTTAGTTTAGCCACCACCATATCAAACAAAACACTAACTAAATACTCATAATATGCAAGACCAATTATTCAATTATGTTATGAATTCTAGTAAAAACACTATATTTTTTGAAAAATTTATTAGTAAAATTTTTTGAAGTGAAAGGAAGAATTAAATAATGAATAATAGTTAAATCCCCTCCCCACACTTATTCTTAACATTGTCCCCAATGTTAAATAGAATGTAAAGATAAGAGGAAAATTAATAAAAATGCAAAACAAATAAAGGAAAGAATAGAATAAACTCCCCTTGGGTTGCCTCCCAAGCAGCGCCTTTCTTTAACGTCTTTGGCTAGACTCCATCGCCGTCCTAAAGCATCCTCAAAGTTAGGATTTCTGTTCAGCGCAACATTCATTTTCTCATCACCAATCAAATGAGAATTATCCTCCTGCGATAAAATATCCACAGCAAAAACAGATGATATGCCATTCAAATGTTTAATGGTAGTATTAAATATATCAAATTTTATAATTTCACCATCAAACTCCATTGTTAATGTACCATCATGCACATCAATTTTTAACTTAGTTGTTTTCAGAAATGGCCTTCCCAACAATATTAGTGTTGAATCATAAGAATTATTATTATCTTCTCCCATATCAACTACATAAAAATCAGCAGGAAAAACTAAACCTTGCACTTGTACTAAAATATCTTCCAAAACACCCCTAGGATACACATTAGATCTATCAGCAAGTTGAAGAATTATACCCGTTTCTTTTAATGGACCAACATTCAGAGATGAATAAACAGACAAGGGCATGACATTAATTGAAGCTCCAAGGTCTAACATTGCTCTTTCAATATTAATATTACCAATCTTGCAAGGGATAGCAAACATACCTGGGTCTTTACACTTGGGAGGTAATTTTTTCTGAAGGATAGCTGAAACATTTTCCCCCATGCTGACCATTTCATTGCCTTTTAACTTTCTTTTATTTGTGCACAACTCTTTGAGAAATTTAGCATATCGAGGAATTTGTTTAATAGCATCAAGTAAAGGAATATTTACCTCAACCTTTCGAAAGGTTTCAAAAATTTCTTTTTCTTCTTCATTCTTTTTGGATTTAGCCAATCTACTAGGAAAAGGAGGAGGAATTACCATAGTCTTTGGATGCTCTCCAATAGGCTTTTGATCATCTTGAGGTTGATGAACTTCTTTTTCAGTTTCCTCATCTTGGTTGGGTGTTTTCCGCACTTGAGTAGGTTCTGGCAACTCTTTTCCACTTCTCAATGTAATTGCACTTACATTTTGCTTGGGGTTCACAACAGTTTGTGATGGCAATTTACCTTGAGACTCCAATCTACTCACGGTAGATGCTAGTTGGCTCACCTGACTTTCCAAATGTTGAATACTTGTTCTTGTTTCTTGCTGAAATTGTTGTGTGTTAGTAGCAAGTGACTTAACAATATCTTCCAATGGCGTACCTGAATTAGAAGATGATTGTTGTGAGGATGAAGGTTGTTGTTGTGGAACATGCTGATATTGTTGAAATTGTGGGCGTGCTTTATAGCTAAAATTAGGATGATCCCTCCATCCTGGGTTGTATGTATTTGAGTAGGGATCATAATTTCTTTGGGGTTGTCCAAGAAATCCTCCAACTGCATTGACATCCTCACAAGAGTTGTATTGAAGCGTCGGGCACATGTCAGTTGGATGGCCAGTAACAGCACAAATTCCACAAGCTTTTACTTGTTGCACATTTCTTACAACTAACTGTTGCACAAGAGTAGTTAATTGAGATAATTTATTGTCAAGGGAAGAAATATTTACCTCATTCACTCTTCTTGGAGATGCGTCTTGTCTACATCCAAATTGTTGTGAATTAGCAGCCATGATGGATATCAAATCTCTAGCTTCACGAGGAGTTTTGTTCACTATAGCACCTCCACTAGCTGCATCCATCATATTTCTTTCCATGGGCAGCAATCCTTCATAGAAGTATTGAATAAGAAGTTGTTCAGAAACTCCATGTTGGGGGCAACTTGCACACAGTTGCTTGAAGCGTTCCCAGTATTCGTGGAGGGTCTCTACGTCTCTTTGCTTAATGCCACATATTTCTCTTCTAATGCTAGCTGCTCGTGAAGCTGGAAAAAACTTTTCAAGAAATAGTCTTACCATATCCGCCCATGTGGTTATTGTGCTAGGAGGAAGGTAAAATAACCAATCCTTTGCTCTATCGGCTAGTGAGAATGGGAATGCACGCAGTTTGATTTGATCTTCCGTTACTCCTTGTGGTTTGAAGCTCGAACACACCACGTGGAACTCCTTTAGGTGCTTATGTGGATCTTCATTTTCAAGTCCACGAAAAGTTGGAAGTAATTGAATCAAACCTGACCTTAATTCAAAACCAACCTCTAATGCAGGATGTTGAATACAAAGTGGTTGTTGATTCACATTTGGTGCAGAAAGCTCCCGCAAGGTCCTTTGTTCTTCGGCCATTGCTTGCTCTACTTCGGGATTGCAACAAGAGGCAGTTGACTCAGTTGTGGTATTTGATTGAAGGGATGTTGATGAAAGGGCTTGATTTTTGCGCAATTTAGTTTCTTTTCTCAACCTTTTAGCAGTCTTCTCGATCTCAGGATCGTATTGCAATTCACCTATACGAGAAGAACGTGGCATAAAAATAATCTATTTGACACCAATCCCCGGCAACGGCGTCAAAAATAAGGTGGGTGTCGAAACCAACAAATAATAAATTACTTACTCTATGATTTGCAATAGTGATGAGTAAGGTCGTACCCACAGAGATTGGTCAGACTTATTTTTAATCAAAGATTTAATAAAGGAAGAGATGAGAATTGAAAATTAAATAGCATCCATAAAAAGGCAATCAATATGAAATATCAAATAATAATAATAATCAATAGCAACTAGTATCCAACTCAAGGAATAATATCAATTCAATTCTAACAAGATAGATCATTGATTTCCAAGAAATAATTACTTTACTCTTTACCAAATTGGTTATGGTTATTAACAAGCTCTAATAACCTATCTTTCCTTACTTTGTCGATAATCAAAACAAGCTCTTTGATTACTTCCCTAGCTAATAAACAACCCTAAACAAGCTCTTAGGATTTAATTTACTAACAGCATTAAAAGAATTAGAAAGACTACCAATTCTAACCAACAGACGCGCAAGCTCGGTCTATTTAAACTAGATTATACATCTCCATAACATAAGATTGAAAATCTATTTATAATCAACTATGTTATTTGCTACTAGCTTTAGAACACTTAAACAATTACGGATTCAAAGTTCTAAATAGCAATTTAATACCTTGACAATTGAACAAAGGGCCCTTTTGCAACAATTAATCAAGCAATAATTAAAACTCATATAACAGGAGATATATAAATAATAAAGAGTTCAGACAATAAAATTAAGCTAAATAAATCTCACTGGTCTTGTAGAATCAAACTTCAATAATCCTTGAATTGGAAAATTAAAACTCAGCAGTACATTGCAGAGAGTGTTTACAAAGTAAATAAAATAATTCTGAGAAAACTGACTTCCCTCTACTGAAAAATCCAGCCCTATTTATACTAGTTCAGGCTCCCTAATCAACTCAACATAACATTAACTTCTCTAACATCCACAAACTAAATCAATTTCTTGAACCACATAAAACCTAAAAAATAAATAAACTTTATTTTTTCTAACCATAGAAAATTAGCAAGGTAGGTTATTCCTGCTCTGACCTCTAATTCAATTAACTGGTTCGTGGATGTAGCTCAATGAAGACGTCTGCAGCTGCCGCAAAAATTGATCAACCGTGGACTCCTTCAACGAATTAAATTGCGGATGAAATTAATTGCAGAGGTCGCGGACGGAGTCTTCTTCGCTTTCTGCGCGCTGCTCTGAACTCTACGTACACATTACGCATAGAGCTCTAATTCAATAGAAAAGGGAAATAAGTTAGATGGGCTATTAAAACAATTAAATTATTTTATTTGGGCTACTAGTTAAAACAATAAAAAGAAAATACTTACCCAAATCATTAACTAAGCCCAATTCTTATTAATATGAATATTAAGCCTAATTATTCAACTAATTACTATATTAGTTCAAATATATTATTAAATAAATAAAATTAAATTATTATAAAAACTAATCTAAATTAAACATATAAATTGTGCTTATCAATGATTATATGACATTCTTGATGACTATATGATGTTCTTGATGATTGTAGGATGTTCTTGATGTTTATGTGATATTCTTACCGAATCTTGATATTAGAAGATGAATTGTGTCCTTGTTGATTTAAAAATGATTAGAACCCTAGGTTGTATCGTATGGAATTATTCTTGGTATATTGGGTGGGAATTCGCATGATTGGGTGTTGATTATGTTTAGAAAAGCATGATAGGTTATGTGCCATACGTTTCTTGAATTCGATCCGTTAATTGTCTACGTGCGTTATCAATTGCGGTTGAAAGTGTCTAAGCATGGTTTTGGGTTCCATAAAGGTTCCCGGGGCGTTTTTGTGATGAAAGAGTCAGTGGGGGGTAGGGGACCCGCCACCTACCCGCGGCCTTCTTGGGCAACGCCGGCAGCGGGCAGCCGGCGGGCGGGCAGCTGCCCGCCGGGCACCCGCTGCCCGAATTTGCTACCGCCGGCGGGTGATCCCTCACCCACCGGCTACCCGCTGGTTTGGACCCCAATTTGGGATTTCGGCTTCCCCGTTTGATGTTTCCCCTACCCCCGTGGTGTCCCAACAGACTCCGTTTATCGTGCCTATGTCTAGTTTGATTTTCGGGTACCGTTCGTAGGTCGTATGAGTCTTGTATATTGCATGCTAGTTGAATCGGTATCCCGTTGACCTAGGTGCAAGAAGTATGAACCCCTTACGACTACTCTTAGTATGTGAAGGATCACGCATAGGTTTTGTTATACGTTTTCTCTCCCTTCCGAATGTGTTAATGTGGGTTGCATGTGCTTGCTATATGTCATGTGTGCATGTTACCCCGACTTGGTTGAGATCAATCGGGCTATACGGGCAGTCGGGTGGGCTGAGAACCATACCGGCTGTTAACCAGGCTGGTAGAGACCGGTCAGGTATATAAATATTATATAGGACTAAGATCCACTATACGGGCAGTTGAATGGGTTGAGAACCATCCCAATTGTTAACCAGGCTGGTAGAGACCGGTCAGGTATATAAATATTATATAGGACAAAGGTTCACTATACGGGCAGTTGAATGGGTTGAGAACCATCCCAACTGTTAACCAGGCTGGTAAAGACCGGTCAGGTATATAAATATTATATAGAGCTGCGGCTCATCGGTCGGTTGCGATCGACCCCTCCGTGCTGTGAGACAGGGCAGGGTGCTGCGGGGCCGTGTCAGAGCTATATGCGCTGACCTTCATGTATGGGCATGCGATTGGTCCTGTGGCGCCAACAAAGTGTGCTATGTGATGAAGTATGGATGAGTTGTTGTTACGAGTAAATTGGGGATAAGACTATGGGATTTGTACCGGGGATTGTATATGTTGGGTTATGATTATTTATTGTGCTTATCTTATCTGTCTTGCCTGTTGTGAAGCGTATATGCTGGGTATAACTGCTATCTATGCTTAGCTCTATCTGTTGAGTCTATCCCTGTTTTAAAAGCTAGAGTTCGTAGGATATATCTTCATGTTCAAAAATGGTTTTCGTATATATATATATATATATATATATATATATATATATATATATATATATATATATATATATTGTATTTCAACACGTTGGAGTGGGTTACCAGCATCTCTCGCTGAACAGATATATTTGGCTTTCAGGCACAGACAAGTAGATCACTGGAGCGCGCTAGAAGCTTGGGCGTAGCTTAGATAGTTTTTCCCTTTCGGCCTGCGTGCCATGATTTAGTATTGATACTGTTTGAGGATATTAGTTAGTTAGCCTGTGCACTTGAGTTCTCTAGCTCAGGTGTGGCATAGCACCCCGTACTCTGGTATTATGTTTTGGGAATTAATGAGATTTCACCTTTATTTTACAAGTTTTAAATATCTTGAAAATCTGGGCTGTTACATCCTGTAACACCCCGTGTTACGACCCCTAAAACCAATTAATTAATTAACCCTTAGCCCAAGAGAAAGAATAAATTATAATAATTAATTAGGAAAAAAGCCCACCATAGTCCATGGGTCCTTATCCCTAAACCCAATCCTTAGTTCCAAAAGGAATAGAATTAGCAAGCATATAATATTAGTTCCTAATCAGGACTCCTAAGTATATAAATAGGGGACTTAAGAGGCACCTAGAACCCTCCCCGCCACCCCAAAAGAGCTCCAAGAATCCCCTTAGAAGAAATCAAGAAAGCAAGAAAGCTTAAAGAAAGACCCTTCATAGCCAAGGAATTAATTAAGGCTAAGAGGTAACCCATGTCTCAACAAAACCTATTTTCATAGCTATGATTTCCCCCGTAGGATTTCCCCATATTATTGTGTATTGATGAGTTGTGATGTTATTATTGATGATTAATGGGATAATTCCATGGGTGATCTTGATATCAGGAGATTCTTGATAATTATGGTGTTCTTAACGATTATGTGGAGTTCTTGATGATTATATGTTGCTCTTGATAATTGTATGGCGTTCTTGATGCTTATGTGTTATTTGTACCGAATCTTGTAATTAGAAGACGAACCGTATTCTTGTTGATGTAAAAGTAATTAGAACCCTAGGTTGATGTTCTTGTTGGCGTTCTTGATGCTTGTGAGATGTTCTCGATGCCTATGTGATATTCTTACCGAATCTTGTAATTAGAAGACGAATCATATTCATGTTGTTATAAAAGTGATTAGAACCTTAGGTTGTATTGTATGATATTATTCTTGGTGTATCGGGTGGGGAAATCGCATGTTTGGGTGTCGATTATGTTTAGAAAAGCATGATAGGTTATGTGTCGTATGTTTCTCGTATTTGATCCGTTAATTGTCTACGTGTTAATCGTTAATTGCGTTGTAAGGTGTCTAAGCATGGTTTCAGGTTCCACAATGGTTCCCGGGGCGTTTTGTGCGTAAAGAGTCAGTGGGGGGTAGGTGGGGGGTAGGGGACCCGCCACCTACCCGCGGCCAGAAGGAACGTCTCCGGCAGCGGGCAGCTGCTCGCCGGCGACCCGCTGCCCGGAACAGTATTTACCGGCGGGTGGCCCCCCACCCACGGGCTACCCGCTGGAAATCATCCCCATTCGGGACCCCGGCTTCCCCGTTTGATGTTTCCCCGATCCCCGTGGTGTCCCAACGGACTCCGTCTATCGTGCCTATGTCTAGTTTGATATTTCAGGTACCATTCGTAGGTTGTATGAGTCTTATATATTGCATGTAGTTGAATTGGTATCCCGTTGACCTAGGTGAAAGAAGTATGAACCCCTTAGGATTATTCTTAGTATGTGAAGGATCACGCATAGGTTTTGTTATACGTTTTCTCCCCCTTCCCAATGTGTTAATGTGGGTTGCATGTGTTTGCTATGTGTTATGTGTGCATGATACCCCAATTCGGTTGCGATCGGATTGGTTATTCCTGAGCTGCGGTTCAGAAGCTGGCTGCGGTCAGATTTACACTCTTGGGCTGCGGTCCACCGTTTGGTTGCGATCAAACGTTTGCA